GGGGTTCCAAATCCCTTAGAGTCAGAGCTGGTCAGGATCCTTGCAAGCTCCACGTATGCGCCGAACAGCGCTCCTAGTTAGTGGGGAGGTGCCCCGACTAAGGATTATACATGTCCAAGTCTTCGCAAAAAAATGTCCGACCACCCAGCCCCACCTCTGACCCTTTCGGACCTCGAACTCAAAATCGAACTTGAACCCGGCCCCCTGCCCCTTCTCTGACCTCTCGGACGTCGAGCCCGAACTCGAACTTGACTCCTCTCGGACGTCGAGCCCCAAACAGACTCGACCTCCACTTCCCCTCCGCTCTCCCTTCTGACCTCTCGAACGTTGAGCTTGGACTCGAATTCAAACTCGAACTCAGAAAGTTGCACCCTACTCGGGGCACGGTCTGGAATCTTGTCGAAGCCGCGGGGGTCGGCGACACAGAGTTGTAGGGCATGGATCACCCAAGATCATAAACTAGGTTTCTCCAATGTAGCTGTCATGCTTTTGAGGTCCCTTACGAAAGCCTTCAGCCTTTAACCCTGATCTTAAGACTTCCATGTTGAATACCCAAATAGATGAAAAAAGGGCTTCTGCTGCCGAACGATTTTTTAGAGAAGAGGGTGGACGGTGCTTACCAACAGTGATAGCTATAGTCACAACTTAGGCACGGATGTTTTGAACTTACCACTAGTCTAGAGAAGCCTTGTTTCTTATGAATTCATATTGTATTCCCTCCTCTGTGACATCTACTACAGCTACATCTGATCTTGGATTCTGCAAGCAGAGCTGTATGTGAGTGCCTTTAGGGTGCCAGGATTCATCCCGAACAGGTGTGTAGACGAACAGAACAGCAACACCTGGACCCCACAAGTATGTAAGATAATGGCCTTTATGGCTGTTATTATGGGTTTAGGGCTATTATTTTACATACTTTTGGGGTTTAGGCAGTACTTAAAGCAACAATATGCAAGAAAGAATAGGATTATTTGCAGCGAGAGAGGGACCGTCATGCACATGCACTGAAGCCGGGTTGATTCAAACGCTTATCCTTTGCCGAGTCATATGCACTGAACCCAGAACGCACGAGCTTTAAGCTTCCTTTAGTTAAGTTCATCCATCAGCTCCCTGTTGTGATATAGACCCCTAAACCCTAAACCCCTAAACCCTAAACCCCTAAACCCCAAACCCAAAGGCCTAAATCCAACGCTGCAAACCTCCCAAGCCCCAAGTCCAAGGCTCTACTGCAACCTTACACCCGGAGACCCATAGCCCGAAGCCCTAAACCCTCAGCGCCTAGGCCCCAAACACCTAAATCCCAAACCCCAAGCCCTGCACCCTTATACACCCGGTTATGTAGGGGTTCTACAGAGGTTATATAGGGGTTATATAGGGTACAATATGGTAGTTTCCCTAAGGGGGACCCCAATATAGACCCCAAAATATTCTAATCTTTAATATGGGGAACCCCAAAAAAGGTACCCCTAATT